CGTTAGGCATTTTGGACCGGCTTCAAAAGCCTCTCGGCAGCCGGCAGGCCTCTTGCGGCCTCTCTGTGGCCTGTCCGAAGCCTGCCTCCTCTCTTCTTATGGGCTTCCGAAGGCAACGTTAGGCATTTTGGCTCGGCTTCAAACGCTCCCCAGAGCCTCACCGCAGCCTTGCCCTCTTCTCGGCAGCTGGTTGAATGCCAGCATTGGTGTGAAGCCCATCCAAGTCTCGCTGTTGAATCCCAGGAAGTTGTCAAGGTTCAACCGCCAAACCCTCGAGATGAAAAGGGGTCGGCGGCACCCGGGCGGAGCCCTTACAATATGCTTCACATGCCACCCTGCAACCAAGCGCATATTTGTTAACTTTTCTGGAACTGCCAACTTGGTCCACATCCGGTTGGCAAGCAGAAAGGCTATTGATTTAGGCACCTTGAGTGACAAAAGTGGAACCTTTCCTTCTGTCAGACCACGCCAAACTTGAAATGTAGCATCATCAACCCCAAGGACGCTTGCGGTAAAGCAACGCTGGGCCCAAACTTTGTCCATGCAAAAGAAGCACGCATGCCTACCGGATTTTGTTTCTGCATCCAGAAGTGAAACATGGTGCAAAATTGGCTGGGCTTTCAAAACATGAAAATAGAAAAGTCCTTGGTCCAACAAGTCACCGTCACCGATGTGGTTCCATAAGTCAAATTGGGCTCTCATCTCTCTGCACAGAGGAAGGAGGGGATGGTGCTGAGCACAAGGCTGCAAATACACCAAGGCCACCATTTCACTCCCGGAAACAAATCTGTCGATGATAGCTCCTGCTTCCAACCCTTGCTCCTCCTCATATGAGCGCAAACAGGACTGCACATACGGGTCACCATCAGCTTCAGCATTGATCCATGTGTGTTGAACACGGTGCCCACCAGCTACCCTTTTGCCATCACCGAAAGAAGCGAGCCAGACCACTTGAGGACAAGTGGCCATGTTTGCCATGGCCCCCAGGAAACCATCAGCAAACAAACAATAACATGTCGTCGTTGGAGGCTTCTTCCTTAACTCACTTGTTTATGTTGACCTGTGTTGAGTTTGCGACACTAGTAGACCGGTGGCTAGTAGTCTACTTATTGAAATGGCAAAACTGCACATTAACAAAATGTATTTGGACTGATGCCATGTTTCGTTGAAATGAACGTCGTGATTCGTGATTGTCAATTTCCTTTTATTGATTGGGAGCTTCAGCGGCACCCAGCACTGAAACGTGTAAGTGGGCCGGGTTTCTTCCTGGTCATTCATTGGTAACTATCTTAACGCAAATCGCTTGAGTTAGCACATGTTTCTATTGTAATTCGAGCCCCGAAACGCTACGTGAGTACGAGTTTTTCCACATAGTTGCATGGAACCAATTATTTACTATTAACACACACCTCAGCTCACACCGCTCAGCGACTTCCAGCCTACGCACAAAGAACTTAACAAGATCCAGGCGAGTTTTTCGCATATGCAAGCCAAGCTACAGAGAATACAAAACAATCTATGTTTTCTTTTAATTTTAACTAATCCAAATTTTTCAGCAGAAAAGCGACGCGTTGACACACCTCAAAGAACACCAAGAGAATTAGCGAAAGTTACTATGAAAAATGTAGCTTACATTTAGACGGGTCCCCTCCCGGTTTGTAGAGACAGGGAGTGGGGATATTCTGATTTGCAGCAAGAACCCCATAGCTATCCCTATTTGGGGAATAACAACGTATGATCTTGCGCGTATAAGCTTATGCGCATGCGCGCGACAGCAAAACCCGTATGTGTCATTGGCCCAAGGCCAAGCAGTATCCAGCGCCACTATTGACTTTGTAGCATGCTTGAAGCAACGATCTGCAGAACGATATGGCCGTATGATCTTGCGCGTATAAGACTATGCACACAAAAGTATGCGCGCAAACGGCAAAGCCCGTCGGCTTCACTCGCCCAAGGCCAAGCAATATCCAGCACGACTATTGTGTGTGTAGCATGCTGAAACAATTGTCGGTTGAGAGCCTGACGTTGCGCATAGAACATTGTACGTGCAAAAGTATGCGCGCAAAGAGTACAGCCCTTGACACGGCTGTCGGCCAAAACAGAACCTGAAGAGTGTAAATACCCCACAGCGCTAATAGACAAAGAACGCTCAAGCGACAACACCGTATGATGTTGCGCGCATAAGTTCATGCGGCCCATGACTGCTGGCACTTCATTGTCATATTGTCAGAAGCGGCGCTTGGTCGGCCTTCACTGCTGCAAGCGGCGGTTTGTTACCCTTCACTGTCAGAAGCGGCGGTTGTTATCACTTCACTGTCAGAAGCGGGCACCAGCACCAAGCACCGGCACACCAGCTCACGGCGCCCAGCACAAGCACCCAGCACCGGTACACCCAGCACCCAGCACCACCCGGCACCCAGCACCCGGCACCCTTGCACAGCACCGGCGCCGATCTCTACCACACGCACTGCCCACAGCCAGCTCACAGGACCCAGCACCAGCACCACAGCCCGCACCAGCACCGGGCACCAGCACCCAGCACCGGCACCCTGTTTCCACAGCACCCAGCACCAGCACCACACCGTCTCGAAAGCGCGCGCAACCACCTCATTGTCAGTTGAATTAATAAGAACCCCATAGCTGTCGTTATCTGGCGAACCAAAAGTCCTCCCCCCCAGCCACACAGCCACCGCCCATACTGGCACCCGGCACCGGCACCCGGTACCCTGTCTCCACCACGCGCACAGCCAGCACCCGGCACCAGCACCAGCAACGCGTGCACAGCCAGCTCACAGCACCAGCGCCAGCACCGGCACCCGGCAGCACCGGCACCCGGCATCCAGCACCGGCACCCGGCACCAGCACCAGCAATCTGTCTCCACCACGTGCACAGCCAGCTCAGAGCACCAGCACCGGCACCAACACCAGCAACCTGTCTCCACCACGTGCACAGCCAGCTCACAGCACCAGCACCAGCGCGGCACCCGGCACCCAGCACCACCACCAGCCAGCAACCTGTCTCCACCGCGTGCACAGCCAGCTCACAGCACCAGCACCAGCAACCTGTCTCCACCACATGCAAACCAGCTCACAGCACCAGCACTGGCATCCGGCACCCGGCACCGGCACCAGCAACTTGTCTCCACCGCGAGCACAGCCAGCTCACAGCACCAGCGCCAGCACCGGCACCAGCAACCTGTCTCGAAAGCGCGCACGGGCAACTCATTATTATTTGAAGTCAGAACCCCATAGCTTCGCTATCTGGGGTAAAACAAAAGCATGGTGCTTCGTTTCTGAGTCACAACAAAATCATGCCGTAGTAGCGCACAATCTATTGCCTTCAGTATGGGCCTCCGAGAAAAAATCATTCCACGCTTCTGGGTGCCCCATCTTCTCCTGTGCATCCTGGCTCCAACCATAGAGCACCGTAGCATTGCCATCTTCCACATCGCTCTGCAGGAGCACTGCTGGAAACCAGGGCGAAATCCGGCAGCCAGGATGCCTCGACTGAGCTGCGGTTGGACCTAGTGCAACGAACAGTCATCGCATCTACAGAACATTGCCCAGGGCTTTGAGATCATTGCACCAGCACTTTAGAGGCAACTTAGTTGCTTCAAGACGACCGTGGTTCCAGGAGCGCACTGCGGTGCAATTTCCAGGTCCAAGCGGACTGTGCCAACAAAGGCCTCAGCTATCGACGACTCATCAAAGGCTTTACTTTCTGGAAAGGGTTTCTCTCGACACTGGGTGATGGCAGTTGGGACTCTGACAGCATTTTCATGCGTATATATTCGCCATGATTCTGCTGTTAGATTTCCCGAGTTTACTCCGCTCGGCCAAGCATCACCCTCAGCGCAAAGGATATAAAGAATGAAAATGGCCAGCCGCCAGCACGCGGCGCCCATGTAGGTCCATGCCTTGCATCTGCTGCCGCCCGTGACCTTCGACACCTCACTGGGAAGGACGTGCCATTGCAAAGCCTATGTTTCTGGAAGTGCTTGTCCACGTGTTTGAATGATAGACTGGTCCCAACATGCCTCAAAAAGGATGAAAGGATCAGGGCGAAGAATTACAAGGAATTTAGGGATTGTGTGCTGCAGACTTGCCTTCATGACGTGCCCTTTCAGCTAGAGAGCCATGAAACGACTGGCAACTTCCATAACCCAAGCACAACCACATCAACACAGCAAGGGTAAACCGGTAAACTGAGGAAGATGACGATACCAAAGTGATTGCATGCGACTTCGACAGCTGGGACAGAAGGTCTCGCAGCATCTCCACCTGAGATGCAGGGTCATTCCATCGCATTTCAAAAACACCTGCAGGCCCTTGTCTTCCCGAAAGGGCTGCATGGATGTCAAGGCCTGCTGAAACTTGCCAGCCGCTTCGCAACAAACGCCAAACCAAGATTGCCTTGAGCCGGTGACCCGCTCAGGACCTCCAAATGCTCGATCTGTGATCCTGGACAGCTCCTGCAAGCGATCCGGGGGAAGAAGCTCTCCTGACAACCCTGGTTGCAAAATGTTTAAGAAGGGTCGGGCATGTGGCTTACGGCTGTGACGAAATGCTTTCCGTGGAGCACGTTGATCAGGTTGAGAGGCAAAGGTCAGCTGCGTTACCAGGGTGTTCGGGCCGGGTAGATAGCATTGTCGCGTGCGGAAGTCCAAAGCATGAGAATGCATGAATACAAATCTTTTCTTAGGAGGGCCCCCACAAAAGGACCAACCATGAACATTTACCACACACACTGGATTGTTTCGCACAAACTAGTGTGTTCCAACATTCCTGGTTGAGTGAGCTTGGCCTCAGTCACAGCGTGAGGTTCTTCAGCTCGAATGCAAACACTTCCCGGATTCCAGGGGCTTAGTCTAGGCACAGGCCACAGGATTTCAGGCACCATTGCCATTCAAACATCTGTGCTGCGGAGTCGCTAGGTCGGCGGGAGGGGTGGGGGAGGGCACGGAAGGAAAAAGATTGGACGTTTGGTTACTTTGTGCATACTGCATGGCCCTTTCCTACTTCGGCTAGGTATGTTTGCTATAAGCTTGCCAAAGGGGAGCACACTCCCTTGTCAAGGAAGCACTGTTTCAAGCTGTTCAGCGCCCCATCTGTCTTGGACTGGTAGCACTGTACACTACAGCACGATACTATATTCTATAAGAGCCCGGGTTTGAAAATGATAGCGTCCAAATTGAAAGCCATGTTTCCCAGCTGCATGCCTGCATACAATACATCCGAAACTCATGCCTTCCACAAATCCAAAAGTTAATGAGCCAGGACGGTTTGCCAAATGCCTGTGGTCACTATTCTGTAACATTGTTACGCTCGACCTTCCATCACTAACCATGATCCAACACAACTGACAAGCTTGGCCACACTGCTTACACTGTAGGCACTGTAGGGAGGTCCAAAATCCTGAGATCCTCCACTGGCTCCATTGCTTTACTTTGGTTGCCATGGAATGTCACTACACTGACTCCTCGGCGTTTCCTGTGCAGCTCAACTTGGACTCCCTGAGTTCAACCACCAAAGCACTTTTGCGGGAAGTGGTGTCTTCCGTTGCTTTTTTCGCATGGTCAGTCCATGGATGCCTTTTGGCATCTGAACGGTTTGGAGCTCAAAGCCCACGTTCTTCGAATGACTGCCCCGAGTGAGAATGCCACCTGCAAAACCAAAAGCATCTGAAGAACACATTATTTAGAGCCTATCGCAGTTGCCTGAACAACTATATAGACTGATTCGCCTACTGTGAGCACAGCTTGAGCTCTGTCACCAAGCTAAGTGAGCCTCCTTGTGTGACTCCATCCTATCGCGGCGAAGGAGTTCTCATCAGAGTTTTCCTTGACCAGGACATGAGATTGGAGAGTGACACCTTGGATTCAGCAGAGGACCGGATGTTGCGCGAGCCCACCATCATGAAGCACCTCAGGTGCCCGATAGAACGCCAGCCAGTCACGTGGGGAAGAGAGACGTACGTGGATGATAATCGATGAACCTTTGCCGTCAAGCACCCATGGTTATGCTGCACATTTCGGAGTTCTGGTTAAAGACCCCTCTCTTTGACAATACTGGAGTTCCCCGCATCTCTTGGGCTCAGGCTCTGCACGTTCCTTGAGCATGGCAATGGTCTCAAGGTCCGTGCACAAGTCGCTCCTCGATATTACAACTAGCTTTTGTTACTACTAGTAAGGCACCTGTTACTACTAGCGTGGCACTTGTTACAACTATATAGCTTCTTGTTACTAGTAGAATTACCACGGAAAACCATGGTTTGCGAACGGAGCAAGAAAGCCCCTATGCCCTGTGTGTCAAGCGGCAGCTGCCCCGAGGTCACTTGATCCTCGATATGAGACAAATACCTCAGGTGCTTGTCTGGCCAAAAATCCGGGTCTCCACAGGGGCAAGGTAAACAGCCTCATGCATCTTGGACACAGCAAGCCGAAAGTTTGTAGATACTTGAAGGCGGCACCTGTCAGTGTTTGCAGGCAAATTGTTTCGTGGCGAGCACTTGACATACAAGCTCAAGGTGGAGCCTCCCATTGTCCGTGCAAGCTCGGCAAAAGCTTCAGCATTGATGAAGAGGTAGGGGCCTTAGGTGAGACATCGTGTCATGCACTCTGTTATGGGTCTGACTCAGCATCGAGTGACGCTCAACCACCGGGTTGTCATTAACTCTTCTTGCCCCACGTGGTTGGGTTTCCTCTACATCTTGAGACGCAACCGTACAGTTCTGGAGTATGATGTTCTCATATTCCTGATGCTTTGGTCAGGGACCAATCAACAAATTTCACACGTGGTCCGCTATGCATCGCCTTTGGTCTCGTTTATATTCATATGGTGCTGTGCTCCCATCACTGAGTTTAACTCTATATAAACGAGAGATAACGAGAGGGTGTTCATACACGAGGGGTTTGACATAGCGAAAATGTGATGCATGGTTCACGTCCTCTTCGGTGGACACGCCGGATCCAGAATATGTATGACAGGTAGGGGGTACGTCTTGGATCATCAAGACCTTAATTGTATGCAAGGGAGTGGGTACACTGTAATTGATGCAACTATGCTTTTCTTGGGGATTGTATGGACATGCGGGGCAGCAAGGCCAACGAAAAACAAACAAACTCAACGAAACACAGCGGGGGCACAAGGGGCCAGGTTCAAGGCCAATGTAAGAGACAAGTTTCTGGCAAGTGCGCTCGTGGCCTTGATTGGTTTGTAGGGCTGTTTGACTCACCACCTGTCATTGCCTTCTTCGGTAGCTTGATTTCCCCAACAAGCGTATGCAGGCATGAAAGCGAGAGGGGAAAGCCACCCCAGGCAGCATACTCAAGGAAATGTACGCGGGGGGCGGGGTACATCGATTGTTTCCTGCGAATCCAAATCCGGACACGAGGACCCTCTGACTACACTTGCGGTGGCCGAAGCAATTCCGAACCATTCTCCACAATTTTGGATTGAACGCCCTTCGTTGACTTCATCTGAGCTGCTCGTGACCTCTGATGCTAGGTGTCCTCGATAGGTCCACTCTGCCCATAGACCTGGGCGGATAGGCATCCATGTGACGGCCGCAATCACCAAGCATCTTTCAACTTTGGCAACAATAAAGTAATCTGATATTGTCCGCGCGTAGTGTCGGGAATTCCTGGCAAGGCAGGTCCTCCCCACCCTGCCATCTCTGTTTCCACAAGACTTTCTGGGTTGAATGCACCATATCCTCACATTCAGGGAGCTGCACGTCAGCAGAAGGCTTAGACAAAGTGGACAAACAATCAATGCACCCGTTACAAGGCACCGATGTCGGCGATGATTTCGTATGGACCTCAAAACGCCGACACTTGCATTGGAACACAGCCATGAGATGTTCTCCAACGCTTCGTTTGATCCATCCCCTGGTTATGAACATGCCCCTCCACAACCGATGGTCAGTTTCCGTCCATGTAAGCTTCATGGCGCAAGTCAGGTTTCCATACAAATCAGCATAATCAGCAAAACCAAGTTGCCCAAAGAAACCTCAACTGGGGCAAAACATGCAAAACACTGCAAGACCCTCCAGTGACTTGAGTGACTTATGGTGACTTGAACTACCTCAATAAGCTCACCTGTTCTGTGTGATGGATGTGTTTTCAAGATGTCCGAGGCGCCACCCCATTGTCATGTCCAGCACAGCTCCGGTGCTTGTTGAAGACTTCCCGGCGTGTATAGACCAAACCTGTCGAAAACGAACAAAAATTAACAAAGCAAAAGAAAGTGCAAACGGCACTGCATGGGCACTTCTTTTGGATCCGAAATCATCAGCTTAGTGGCCGTGATCGATGGGTACTATGGCCCCTGCGCCTCAGCGTTTGCGACAGAAGTGATGGAATGGGGGATCCACAAAAGGCTGGCGCAGTTAAACTCAGAGGCAAGTACACTACTTATCCAAAAGAAACCTACCTTTTGCACAATTTACGGTTGGCGATGACAACCTAAGAACCAAGATTGCACAGACCTATGAAAATGAATCTTAGTTTGCGGTGTGTCCTTTGAGACCCAGGTCATCCAACTTGTGTAATGTACATTGGCTGCATCAAGCCAAGGTTCCTGACAAGAGTTGTGTGCAATCTTGGTTCTTGGTTTCTTGGTTTGAGCAATGTACGCGCACAACTGCGTTTGTATGCGTACTTTTTGATGAAACCAGCATGCAGTCAGCATCTCATGACTGATGTAGCAATATTGGATGAATGTCGGACTAGAATCACATCAGGCTATGTTGATAAAAACATTGATACAACAAAACTGATAGAGATTGACAGGACGAAACCCTTTACATTGCCATTTACACAAGTTATAAATTCATACTGGGATTTTAATGAGTTTGATAGTTGGAAACATTACAGTGATGGCATCGACATTAGCACATTATCTAGTTTAACATTGTATATGGTTGAAGTGAAGGCATCACATGTTTTTCAATAAGAGGTATAACTTCATATATGGAAAGTGTTTGAGAAAACTATTGAAAGCAAACAATGAAATCCGCCCGCACCGAAGGTGCCGAGGCGTTTTTATAAGGCACGCGTTAAACCGCAATACCGCAAGTACAGCAAGTACTAATAGCTTTAGCTAGGGGGGGGGGGCATTTTCGCTCTAGAATCCTGTGTTTTTCACGTTTTTGGAACCGGCTTAAAGTGCTGGAAGATAAATTCGTGCTAATGTTTGCTATCTTGAAGCCTTTAGGGATGCAAGAAATGCAATTTTCTGCTTTGCATCATCTGCATCATCTGGACATTTGGCTGAACAGGTTCCCCTAACGGGGCTCAACATAGCTTCCATATTGCGTAACCACTATCTAACGGACGTGTCTGCGAGATAGGGACTTGAACGTCCGGGTACGTGGCTGGTCAGGAGCAGAGATAAGCAGATCAGGTCCAGGAACGGTAA